GTACGGCCACGCTCGCGGCGGGCGCCACGTGCCAGCCGGTGTGTGCCAGCGGGTACACCGTCTCCGGGACGAGCGCGTGCAGCTCGAGCGGCGTACTGACGCCGGCGACGTGCACCGCGACGCCGGATCCGACGTCGACGCCGACGTGCGATGCGTCGGCGGTACCGACGAACGGCGCCAGCGCCGGTGATTGCACGGCCACGCTCGCGGCGGGCGCCACGTGCCAGCCGGTGTGTGCCAGCGGGTACACCGTCTCCGGGACGAGCGCGTGCAGCTCGAGCGGCGTACTGGCGCCGGCGACGTGCACCGCGACGCCGGATCCGACACCAGGGGGCGGGTCTGGGTCGTCCGGATCATCATCCAGCGCCGCGAGTCGCGCCGTCTCGCTCTCGGCGTCGCTGGTTTTCGCCACCTTCCTCGGCGGCGCGCTCGCGTGAGCGCGCGTTTTCTCGCGCCCGGGGCCTCCCCGAGGCGCTTTGCTTTTTATTCTTTCCATCAATTTGTTTTCAGTATGTATCACCAGGCATTTTCATCACGTGTACCGCGTCTCGCGTCACCGATTCCGTCGTCATCGAACGCGTCGCTCGCGCAGCCGTCGCCTCGCGCGTCCCGGGAAATCGTCTCACGGAAGACGAACCGGCGCGTTCTGCACAAAATGATGACGTCGACGCACATCGCGACGCGCGATGCGCCGACGTCCATCCCGCGCGCGCGCGCTCGCGGTGACGACGGCGACGATCGTCTCCTGGGCGCTGACGTGCGATGCGAATCCATCCTTCGTGCAGTGCGATCGCACGACGCGCACGAACGGTGGCGACGTCGGCGAGGACGTGGCCACGAGGAACACCATCATGGGACAGAGCGTCATCACCGCGACGTCGGGCGTGATCGATCTCGCGTCGGGATCGGCGTCGACGTATAACGCGAGCACGACGGTGACGTTCGATCTGTCGGCGCTGAACGTGGGAGCGTTCGTGCACGCGAGCGGGGGGACGGTGAGCGGGCTCGGCTCGGCTTGGACGGCGCGATCGGGATGCGCGACGACGTCCGTGCATTACACGCAGTCGAGCGGGACGTCGTACGGGGGGGTGACGTGGACGGCGCCGAGTGATGTCTCGAATCTGCCCACGGTGGATATTTGGGTCGGGAGCGCGGGTGGGAACAATCAGGCGGTGACGCGACGGAAGCTCACGCTGACTCGAGACGGTAACTGGAACGCGCCGCCGCCGTCGACGCCGACGTGCGATGCGTCGGCGGTACCGACGAACGGCGCCAGCGCCGGTGATTGCACGGCCACGCTCGCGGCGGGCGCCACGTGCCAGCCGGTGTGTGCCAGCGGGTACACTGTCTCCGGGACGAGCGCGTGCAGCTCGAGCGGCGTACTGACGCCGGCGACGTGCACCGCGACGCCGGATCCGACGTCGACGCCGACGTGCGATGCGTCGGCAGTACCGAC